GCCCTGAAGTCTACCAGGCCTCTGACCCCTCCCACCAGGTATTCACACATTTTGGTAATTTCCCCCATAAGCAACATCCACTGCTCTCTTGCCCATCAAGCCAGGTACCTCACTGTTGGTGATTTAAATCACACATTGACCCTTATTTTACAAGCTAAATCTAAGTCTTATGTAGAAGAAAGAAATCTCTAGATTTAGCAAAATGCTAAATCCCATCAAATGTTGTCACATATTATTGGGATGCTGCTCACAAGGCAGAGCAGAGTTTGAGTTATGGGGGGAGGGAAAAGGAACGATCTTTTCAGAAATATCAGTTTGCAGGCGGGGCAAGAAAGCATGATGAAAAAACCTAACCAACAGGTTTTTTTTCTAGTACATTTCTGTTTGCTTAAACAGGAAAAAAAAAAGCACAATTTTTAAGACACCCTTGAATGTGAACATATAACAAGAGGCAGAGAAGTTTCCCAGAATGACATTGTACTCGTACACAGAAGCCAATTTGCTGAAACTAAATTTATTACTTTCTTGGGTTATTTTTGCAGAATAATTCCTCTCACCAAACGTGTAGGAGGTTTACGTTAGTACCAGTCAAAAAGGTGTCCCAAAAGGCCTGGCCTACAGGGCCTGCGGCTCTCGGGGAACGAAACAGAGGGGTTGTCTTTGAGGCAGGCATCCCAGGTGGTTCCCCCGCCAGCAGCCTGAACACTGTGGACATCAGAACTGCTGTACAGGATCAGAACAGACACCACAAAGAAGGGATACAAAAGATGGCCATTCACATGGGCGTCTGGAGAAGAGCGGAAGAGCAGAGCACGGCTATGGAAAAGCCTGGCTGAGTCTGCCGGAGTCTGCTGTTAGGTGGTTTGTTAATTTGGAATTCAGGTCCCAATCAACATGCTCAGATGTCATTCTCTAACCTTTCTTTGCATTTTTTTTACATATCTTTGACCTATAAGCATATGGCGGCACACTGAAATGCTCTGGTATTCTCTTTACGAAAAAGCATCTCTTTTGCTTGTACTTGATATTTAAGTACCTCCCAGCTCCACACTGGAAGATGAAGAATCACTCCTTTTTTTTTTTTCCATTCATTTAAGATCTTAGGGGTGCCCACCCAGGCCCTCCTCTGCCCTCCCCC